TAATTTTAAATAATAATATGTCTAATTGAGTAATTTTACAATATATAATTTTTTAAAATATAATTATCAAATATTAAAATATTTTTCATGATAATATAATATAATATTTCTAATAGTTACAGCTACATATCAGCACTAGATAGTATTGTCAAAATAAATCATAGTAGAGATAATTAATTGGTCCCTCTATCTTAAAATAATTGTGATTTTTTAATTTTAAATTTATCTTAAATTAATTTTTATTTAAAATTTTTTTTAAATAAATAAATTTTTTTATTTAACTCTATTATTAGCTAATTATTTTAGTTAATTATCTTATCATAAAAAAATATATTTTTATCTTTTAATTTTTTTTCTTAATAATAATATAAATATATATTTAAATTTATTTAAAATTTTTAATTTAAAAAAATTAAAAATAACAATTATTTTATATCAGAAGAAGTTGTTATTTTCGTCCCATTATTGGATAGCGTCATGCTCGTGAGCAGAGTCCGGCTTTCTGTCGCAACGTTATGTATACGTACGAGGAGATTTTTTTTCTTTGAAAGGACCACCAATGTGGGGACTGGGGAGAAATTATTGAAGTCGATCATTGTTTCTTGGGAGTCCGTTTGGATGCAAACATTTCCCGAAAAAACATTCCCAGGAAGCCAACATGAAAATAGTTGGTCTAGCTTTAAATATGAGCACAAAAATCGGTAGAGGAGTTAACTGGTTATTTTGTGTGATAATCAGCTATAATACTCCAATTTTACCACTTTCTTAGGAAGAAAATCTTCCTGTATTAATTTTTTGCTAGGAAATGGTTTCTAAAGAATATAGCTAGCTGCAGGTTACAACTTGTAATAACATGTTATCAGATTAAAAAACTATTTTGTTATATTCTTAAAATTTGCGTCCATCTTTGATGTCAAGCCAGCTCCAACACAGGTTGGCTTCTTAGAGATATTTGTCCCGAAAAAGTTTGAATCCAAACAGACCCTAAAGGTTTCTTTGTTGGCAGGGTAGACTGGGTCCAAGTTCATCAACAAGTTGAATTACATAACGTCATTTCTTCTTCAATGAAGACAAGCAGCGGAAAGAGGGCCACCAATATAGGGACGGTGGAGAAATTATTGAATTCATTGTTTGCTTCTAGCTCATTATTGGCAGTACGTGAATACTGTGGGTCCAAGTTTATCAACAAGCTGATGAACCACATCAATGTCAATTCTCCTTCAATGAAGACAAGCCACCAACATAGGGACTGGGGAAAATTTATTGAATTCATTGTTTTCTTAATGGTGTCTTTATTGGCAGGGAAGATCATTCTCCTTCAATGATGACAAGCAGCGGAAAGGGAAAACCACATGTACGCATCCACCAACAAGTAAACGATTACCCCCCATTCAACAATATATAAAATGAAATCTACCTCTATATATATATATCAGTAGAGAATCATTTACATATAAGTAATATATACCATACTTATATAAAATTTTAATTATTTATCTCTTCACTTTTAGTGTTTGAAATTTATTTACATTTATTAAATATAATTATTATTTTAATTTAAAAAGTCATGTAAATTTTAACAATTGAAAATAAAAAAATGAATAGTCAAGATTTCATATAAATGTGATATATAAGATTTGCATGAAAATAAATCTCACCTTTATATATATAATAAAGTGTATTACATGTCGTC